AGGCTTCGGCCAAATCAAAGAACGTCGACTCCGTGGCGATCATCACTTTGATGAGGTTCTCCTGGAACTTGTCCTGAGCCTCGGGCGTCAGGTCCGGGAAGCGGATGCCACCGCTGAAGAGGGTGGTCGCCGTCTCGGGCACTCTATACACCTTCCACCCCAGGTTCTCGAAGAATGTGGACAGTCGTGCCTGACCTGTCGTCTTACCACTACAGGGACCGCCCGTCAGCACCAGCTTATAGACGATCCGCTCCTTACGCACGCTTTCCTGGTCTGGACTCATGGCTCACCACCGATGGACTGATCCTATAGTAGATAATACACGAGAGATAAGTACATCTCGCATGTGATCACACGTCTGGCGATTGGCTCACAATTGGGACAAACGATGCGTGCGATCGACAAATGAGAGGATGTGTTGAGTGTCTCCAGAATATCTCTATCCGCGAAATGATGGTAACTGTTTGACTGTGTGGTCACTATTTAAGCTAACAATTCATATGAAAGCAAATCATATGGTTTAGTGACTGCCATGTGATTGGCTTAACGTTCAGCGCATTCAATGTCTATAGGAATCAAAACATTACTACAAATACTGTAAGGAATCACTGCTACTGTAGACGAGACAGGAATTGCATTACAAATGCAATACTCATATGAATAGTGCTTTCGATACAGAATTTCATAGCATTTGTAAGCATTCGCTGCTTTGCTGAACATTTATATAGCATTCCATATATTATATAATATATGAGTTATTAATATATAGGAATTGTATTGCAATACACGTATAGATGTATGCAATCACTCCATCTATGGGTCACTTCACTGCACGGCACACAACAGTCACGTGATTCACAGCACACTCACACACACACCACCACCACTGCGATCACCACAACTGGTCCAACACCGCCCACTCGGACACACAATGGGCGACAATACCAGTGACACGACTGACATGAGTGACCAGAAGGTCATTCTGTTCAGCGAACTCAGGGATGCCCTCATAGGCGACAAGAGGAGAGTGCGGGACAACATGTATGTGCCGATGATATTAGGCGGACAGGCCTTCAAGACTAAGGAGGAGCTGATGATCGAGAGGGCGGTCGAGAGCTGTGCCTTCAAGACGGGCTTGA